GCTGCTAGAATGTGTGACAAACCTTATTGTGCCTTAAGCATCGTTATATACGACTTGAAACGTGTATAATAAAACTTTCCAGGGTCAAAATACATTGTTCATTTTCTATATGTATGAATGTAAGTGAAGGAGTGAACTGATGTGTCGACAGGTGATCAATAAATGATTATCAGGCATTAATACTGAGACACTGAGCTTATAAACTTCAAACATGAAAATGACAAAACAGAGAAATGTTTGAGGGAAACTATTTAAGGGAAACTGTCACTTTAACTTGACCTTTTTTGTTCATGGAAGTAGTAGTTAGTACCAGTGGAAATTAAGGTACCTTTGTTTTCTACTAACAGGCAGGGACACGTCATTTGAATCTGAATGTGAACCTTTAATATGTTGTCTTAAATTGCTCAACTTAAATAAAAATTTGATTTCAATTAAACAATTTGAATAGTGTTACGCCTGGCTCTGAGGCCGCAACAACACAGACAAGGCAGCGTGATGTAGCGAATTACAATATGCTTTATTGATTTAACATAAACGGAAATGAGCGATGGAGTGTGAAAGTGAGCGTCAGTAGTGTGTGAGGGTGTTTGAGTGYKATGTAGTATGTGTGGTGCATGTTGTCAGGTGCAGAACATAACAAAAGTAGATGCAGCAGGATGGAGATCTCAGGGATGAGTGAGAGACAGAGACAGCCCACGGCAGGGGGTTTATAACAGCAAGCCAATCAGGGAGCCMTGCACRGGAACTTCCAGCCGGCCAACAATCAGCAACCTGCAAGACACACCCACACAGCATACACACCATACACAGACAGGACACAGACATGGGCTGGGGCCTAACACCCCCCCCCCATAAAGACAGGGTCCCACACGGAACCCTGGCAGCCCGAGAGGTAGAAGGGAAAAGGACAAGGGAGCAGACGATACCTGAAACAAATAAGACAGACACCAATATGAATATACAGCAAACAGATTAATCACATGGAGCCCTTGACAAGGCGTCAGCTACCACGTTGTCACAACCCTTGATATGGCGGATTTCAAGGCAAAATGACTGCAACAACAGGGCCCACCGAATTAAACGTTGGTTCGGACATTGCAGTGAACTCAGAAATGTCAAGGGGTTGTGATCTGTGAAAACAACAACAGGTCCAGAACTAACATAGACACTGAAATGCTGCAAAGCCAAAGCCAAAACCAGTGTCTCCTTTTCAATAACAGAATAATTTAACTGATGCTTATCAAACTTCCATGAAAAAAAACAAACAGGCTTATCCACTTCTAAGTCATCAGGTTGCAGCAACACTGCTCCCGCCCCCACATAMCTGGCATCTACCTCAACTTTAAAGGGCCTATCCCACAAAGGAGCAGCCAAAACCGGAGCATGACAAATAASGGCCTTCACATTCTCAAACGCAGACTGACACTCAGAAGACCAGTCAAACGTAGCTTTAGCCTTCAACAGGTTAATAAGAGGTGCAACCACAGTTGAAAATTCCTACAAAAACAACGATACTACACAACGAGCCCCAAAAACCTCATCAGTTCTTTCTTGGTTGTAGGAGGAACATAGTTATCAATAGCTTGCACCTTTGCTCTCACAGGACAAACTCTACCCTGACCCACCACACGACCAAGATAAGTAACCCTGGCCTTCGCAAAGTCACATTTGGCCAGATTCACAGTTAAATGTGCGTGAGCCAAGCGGTCAAACAACTCGCCAATGCGGTCAAGGTGGACGTCCCAATCATCTGAGTMAATGACAACATCGTCTAAATACACTGAACAACCTTCCAGATCTCCCACAACCCTGTTCATCAGGCGTTGGAAGGTCGCCGGCGCATTACGCAAACCAAAAGGCATGACTGAATAGGAATATGAGCCTGTGGATGTAATAAATGCTGCAATGTCTCTTGCCCTCTCAGACAGTGGGACCTGCCAATATCCCTTGAGCAAATCAAATTTGCTCACAAATTTAGCTGACCCAACCTGGTCGACACAATCCTCCACACGAGGGAGGGGAAAACAWTCAGGTTTTGTGACACTATTTACTTTACGAAAGTCTGAACAAAATCTGGGCGTGTTATCCGACTTTGGAACGAGCAAGCAAGGCGAGGCCCAAGAAGAGCAGGACGGCTCCGCCATGTCATTCTCCAACATAAACTTAACCTCGGCATCAAGAAATTTTCGCTTCTCTGGATGAAGACGGTAGAACTTCTGTTTAATGGGTTTAGAATCACCTACATCAATATCATGTTCAATCAAGTGTGTGCGGGTAGGTGTGTCACTAAACAAACATGTATAAYGCCTAATCAAACTAACCAACTGTGCACGTCTGGAAACCTCCAAATGGCCTAGCAAACCATCCAAATTCTGCAGAGTCTCAGAATTCTTGAGCCGGCCATATAATACAGCATCATCAGGGCCTGGTACGCCGTCCCCGCCCTGCTCTGCCACCACAGGGGATGGAGAAACAGACACACAGGCAGGATGGACATCTGATGACTGGACCCCCTGAACACCGGACTCCTGCACACGAGMATAGTATGGTTTCAATAGATTCACATGACACAGATGAGTAGAAGACCGACGGTCTGGAGTAGCAATCAGATAGTTCAMGTCAGACAGTTTTTCAACCACAGAGTAAGGGCCAGAAAATTTAGCCTGAAAGGGAGATGTTAMAATGGGCAACAGAACAAGGACCTGATCTCCTGGGAGAAAAACACGATCTTCAACCCGACGGTCDTAATGTTTTTTCATTTTGCTCTGTGCACCCACCAACTTACTCTTAGCCACCTCCTGAGCCCTRTACAACCTGTATCTAAAACCATAAACATACTCCAGAAGGTTTCGTGGAGGGTCCGCCTCCTTCCAGTTGTCACGCAACAGGGCCAAAGGGCCCCGAACAGTATGGCCGAATACAAGGTCGTTGGGACTAAACCCTATACTCTCCTGCACAACTTCCCTCGCGGCCAACAACAGCCACGGTAAACCCTCTTCAACTTGAATTACTGAAATAAACATCTATAAAATCTTAATCAGCATAATTTGAAATTGAATGTATGTATTTGATCCTCGCTACTATAAACTTCCACATTCAGTTCTTATTCAATTTCAATCATGGATGTATTGTATGACCTGGATACTGGACCATAAAAGGCGCTGTTCACTTCTGTAGGATTTGCTCGTCTAATGCATACGCAGAAAAGAGTTTCCAGGTGCTGCGATCCACTGAATATGAAGTATTAGGTCCATCAAGCACACACTGCCAAGTCAATTAAAAAAATGCAAACACTGAAAAAAGTTGTATTCCAGAGGAAATGATACATGGCAGAATAAGCAATGCTGTTTTATTAATCATTCCACAATATTTTCATGTCTCAGAAATTAAAGTGTACCAACCACTAAATTAGAGTAAGTGTATCTGCACTATTTTGCTCCACTGATTGTTTCCATGAGTTACCAGTGTCATTGTTCTGGAAAAAAATAAAATTCTTCATGTACAAGTTATAGATGTTTATTCTTATTTATTTATTCAAACAAAGCAGTAAAAAAAAAAAAACAAAACATTTGCCTAACTGGGCAAAGTAGCTCGAATTATTTTGATATCATCCATTGGACGATCTTGACTGTTTGTCTCTACCATGCCGATGCGGCTCAGCAAGGACATCCCCTGATATAGTCGTCCAAAAATAGTGTGCTTTCCATCCAACCACTGGGTGGGTCCCAGAGTGAGGAAGAACTGGCTTCCATTGGTGTCAGGTCCGGCATTGGCCATCGCCAGAATACCTGCGCCTAACAGACACACAAATGAAATGAGACACTACACATTCTTTGACTCTATCTATTAACATCAGTTTAATCATAAGACAGTCACAATGTGTGTCAAGAAATGTTTGTGCCACAATAACAACAAATGTCCTAGAAAGGACATTTATTGACCAACCTTCTTCATAACTGCCACTTTCTGTTCAGTTGTTATTTTAAAACTGTGATTTTTGGACCTTGTTGCTCACCTGTGAACTTCAGATCTCGGTTCAGCTCATCTTCAAACTGTTTACCAAATATAGAGGCACCACCACGACCTGTTAAGAAAACCAGGATCACAAAAGAAAAGTGAATAAGAGACACTAGGGCTGCTACTGACTTCTATTTTTATTATCAATTCAATAACTCTCCATACACTGTTTCGTCAATTACATGGAAAGGAAAAATGAATGATGTATACAAATTTCGTGTTTTATCCAATCAGCAAACCCTAAAACGTTTTTAAAAAGAACATTTTAGAAGCTTGAGCCAGCAAGTGCCTGTTAGAGCAAAAGTACAGCATATGTTAGACCAGGAAGTTCACACTGACGTCTGGTTAAAAGGATTTTCGTGCATGGACAGAAAACATTGCCAAAAATATTTGAAAACCTGAACATGACTTCCATTTGAGTTTTTTACTATTTCATTCCAAAACCACAGACATTAATCTGCTGCTGTAACAGATGCCACACTCCAGGGACAGGTTTTAACAAGCAACCTGGCTGAATCAGGATTTGAAAAAAGAAGCTTCTTGCTGTGAGGCAGCAGGGCTGTACCATCATGCCACCCATTATNTAAAGTATGACAAATACCCTAACTTGCAGTCGTATGGTTTAAAGCAGATTGCATTCATCATTTATTTTGTACATGAAAATGCTTTATTCTCCACATTGTTGAATTGCACGCTGCCTGTGGACAAATGTCACATTTTAACATGTGACACGTTGTATTTGTGATTAACTACAAGTTATTGAAAGTGTTTGTGCCACTTAAACACTGATCTTAAATCAGTGTACTACAAATAAATTGATATTAACAGGGAATAAGAAGAGAAGAATTGAAGGATCTGTAAAGCAGTGGACCTGACTCAGACTCAAAGCCCAGTGGTGTCTACATATTGAGTTTATCCGTCAGTGTAGGTGATGTGAACCCACCTGTGCCTGTGGGGTCTCCACCCTGCACCATGAATTCTTTGATGATCCTGTGGAACTTGGTGTTGTTGTAGTAGCCTCTTCGGGCCAGCTCTGCGAAGTTTTTGCAGGTCTTTGGCGCATGTTTCCAGTAGAGCTCCACCACTAATGTCCCCATCCTGCAACGCACAGCCAGCGTGATTATCCACTAGCTTCTATATGTCACATATTCCAGATGAGGTGACGTGAGGCTTGACACAAAAACCAAAACAAAGCATTTTCTCCTGCAACAGCTGATCTCAGAAACGGGCTGCACAGGATGTAAAGTCATGAGAGAAATAAGGGGGGGGGGGGCAAATCTATGAAGCTAACACCACAGAACAGCTAAGTGTTAGCATCCAGGGCTTCTTACTCACGTTGTCTCCAGAGCCACTGTGGGCGGCTGCCATGAGTCCGGAGGTATCCCCGACATGTTCGCTTCCAACTGGGACTTTCACTTCGTCTCTGAACGAACCTGTTGTTGAAACGAGATAAAAACGATGTGTCAGTGTCGCACATTCATCCAGCGACACGCAGGGACAGCTTCTTCTTCTACGGTTGCCGCTCATTTCCTCTGAAGCTTCTAGAAAGTAACGGGCGTCTGGCTGCCCCCTGCTGGACAAGACCGCGTGTGGGCATCACTTTATGGTGGGGATAGATAGATAGATAGATAGATAGATAGATAGATAGATAGATAGATAGATAGATAGATA